AAGTGTAATAAGAGATTTATCATGTCTAAATTAAACAAGTCAGAACGAGAAATTATTGTTATAATCATTACTAACTCTATATCTCTGTTCTTTATTTTTTAAAAAAAGAAACTAAATTAACCTATTTTACTAATTTGAATTCAATTCAAATTAAAAATGAAGTCAAATAAATTTTAAATTTTTATATTATTATAAATAAAAAATAAATTTATTTAATCTTTTTATATTATTTTATTCTAACATAGTACAAGTTATTCATCTAAATTTGACTTTAAATATAAATTTTTTTTGAAATTTTTTTTATGAAAAGAGAATTTAAACTTAATTTTTATAAAAAAGATAAATTAATATACATATTTTAAAAATAAAAAATCAACTAAGAAAATATTTACATATCTTTTAACACTATAAATCTTTTATATTTAAATATTTCACTTATTAACAAGTATATCTATCAACTACTTAAATGTTTGTATTTTTTAAATATTTTTTTCAATATATTTCCTTAACATTTTAATTTTATTCAATTTAATCTCAATATATATATTTTTATTAAATTTAATTTCTATAATGTAGTATAATGTTTTTTTTGAAAATTTTTATTATCTCTTACGTGGCACCAACACGTCAGCATGTCAGTGCCACATTAGCATTGCCATGTCATTATATTAATATTATATGACATTATCACATCATCATGTCAATATCACATGATATATTATGTCATCGTATGTATATTCCGTCAACGTTGATTTTATTTTTTTTAATAATAAAATTAGATATCGTTAAAAAAATTTAAATTAAAATAAATTTTAAAATAAAAAATTTAAATTATTATAATTTTAAATAAAAAAAACTAAATTGAACGAAATATCTTAATATAGGAACTTGCTAAATATTTTGACTAAATTTTTTACTCAGCAAAATTTACCTTTAAACTTTTAAAATTTACATTTTTCTGTTTCCAAGGCAAAATTTATCTTCGAAAGTCGAAAGGCTACAATTTTCTGTTTCCAGCCGATGTAAGCTTCCACATCCTCACTTCTTAGGCAGAATCTCCAAAGCCAATCTCTTTTCCTTTGCCGCTTTCAGTTTCGATCCACTTTCTTTGTCGATTCGGTTATAAACCCACATATAATCAAGCATTTAACAGGTATATTTTCACTTTAACATCCATTTTTCGATGTTTATATTCCCTTTTCTTTAATTTTTTTTGTGTAGAGGTAATTGGTGCAAATATTTGATTTAATGAGTTGCGTTTTTGTGGATTAGGAAGACAAATGAATTCCGGAAGAAAGGAAGAGTAAAAGGTGAGTGAAGATTGAACTTGGCGAACGTGGTGTTACCTTTCAAAAAAAAACATAAAAGATTGAACTTGTTGCTTTGGTGTTTATGTTGGAGTTCGTAACTGTAATAAAAAGGGGACTATTTGATATTGAAATTGTGGGAGAATGATGCAAATTCACTTACTCTCCTTTCCACATTGCACTCTAACTCCACCCAACCTCTCACCTTCTCCCCACGTTTTCACTTCCTTTTCATCAAGAAACCAGCTTGCCGAACTTGTGGCAAATCGACATTTCCCTTCTTGGTCTTTTAATTCACTCAAAAGGGCATCTAAATTTCAAACTGGTTTGAGAAAATGTGGTGGTCTGGTTAGGGTCAGATGTGGAGTGGTGGAAGATGAGAGTGTTGATGATGCGTTTTACATGAGGAGGTGTGTGGAGCTGGCAAGAACTGCGATTGGCTGCACAAGTCCTAATCCTATGGTGGGGTGTGTTATTGTAAAAGATGGCAAGATTGTCGGTGAAGGGTTTCATCCTAAAGCTGGCCAGCCTCATGCTGAGGTAATCCCTATTCTCTCTCTATTCATTTATATTCACTTGTAAATTGTTGTGTGGTTTTTGACAGTAATGAAGGAACCGCCAATCAGGAATGGTAAGAGAAATGAACGTAAAACAAAATCACTGGATTAACTTTACTCTCCAGAGTGAGAAAAACAAAAAAGGTCTACATTTTTTTTGGCACTTAAAAGATATTATAATAATAATGCAAGAAATAACTTGTTTAATGCTGGTTGAGCATTATTAGCTCTAAGTTTTTGCAATCTATGTTTCAGTTGGAATTTGGTCATTCTTTCTTTCTTTCTGGACTGTATATTAGACTGAATTCAGAAAATTAAACTTGCAGGTATTTGCCTTGAGAAATGCTGGGGAGTTGGCTGAGAATGCAACTGCTTATGTGAGTTTGGAACCATGTAACCACTTTGGAAGAACTCCACCATGTACTGAAGCATTGATTAAAGCAAAAGTGAAAAGGGTGGTGGTTGGTATGGTGGATCCTAACCCAATTGTAGCTTCAAAGGGGTTGGATAGACTGCGAGATGCTGGAATCGATGTGACTGTGGGTGTTGAAGAAGACTTATGCAAGAGGCTCATTGAAGCCTATATCCATCAAATGTTGACTGGGAAGCCTTTCGTTACATTAAGGTAAATTTATTTCTTCCCAAGTTATAAACATGACGTTGATTTGATTTCTTTTTTTGGCTCCCTTTGAATGTTTTGTTTAGCACACATGCGTGAATACACACAAACATGTTGCTACGTGTGTTTCTGGTTTTCAAATTATA